TGGTCTTGTGGACCAATGTGTTATTTTTCTGTATGTCACAAAAAAGTTGAGGTTAAAGCAGAAGAAGAAGAGGCGTATGTGAGGGATGATCAGCAGGTCTATGGAGGAGGATGGAATAACGGGGACATTTATAGAGGAGGGACACTCCTACAGAGATCAGCACAGGTGGGTCATCAACACTAAATCCATTCCTCCACCCATACTGCTCACTGATTGGTCCAGAGTAGGGCGGGGACTGGGTGATATCAGCCTGTAATCCCCTGGTCATTTCCTGAGCTGTGTTCCCCGTCCTGTATTCTGGATTTCTCTCGGATAATCTTCCTTCTCTGTGCTGCAGCACAATTTATGTATCTAAGACTGGATTTATGGAGGTTCTGGGGTTCAGCTGGCAGAGTTATTTGACCTAGGCACCTGGGACAATGTGATTTGGGTCTTCTGCCCCATATCAAGGGCAAGTAAAATCTCTGACCATTAATTTCTCTCAAGGTCACTTGTTCTGTGGTCTGCTGGCTGTGCCGGGTGGAGGGATATGTCTGTAGTGTCTCAGACCCAAGTCACTGAGTGCAGTCTCAGGAGATGGGAGGCAGTGGTGTGGGATCTCTGCAACTTGTCTACAGTAAATATTTAAAGTGTTTGTAAAATCTCCATACACCCAGTGCAGTGACTGCCTCAGGTGATACACAGAGATGAAACAAATCCTCCAGCATATGTTGTACCTTTTTATCTCTTCTCTACATCTGTTCAAAGTCTAGAATTTATACAGCTTGTCTGAGAAGTCAGAAAAAAAGGGTCAGAAATGTGAAGTCACAGTCTGCAGAACTCAGTGAGGTTTTCTCTGAGAGATGATTGGAGGGAAGGGACACAGCCCTTTCACACAGGAACAAAGCTGAGGCTATCAATCATAGTCTGTGAGCTGGAGCTACTTCCCTGTCACCCTTCTTCTCTTGGTGTCAGGAACACTTGTCAGAAGTGATTCATGCTGATCGTATAGGAAGGAGACAGCAGACAGAAATGACTCTTATTGCTCTGGAGAGAGACAAGTACACACTATACAGGGATATGCTTCATCTTTATTTACTAAACACCAATTGATGTGATCCTTACACTATTTATTAGTGTGGCCCCTTGTCCTGAATAGAGGTACTATGTGGGTTTAGTTTGTGGCTGGGCTGTACTTGGCTCAGGCTGATTGTATAGTTCTTCACTTGGTTTCTCTCTAAGTTTAGGTTGTCTTGTGATGTCTCACTGTGGCCAGTAGATGTCACTGCTATCACTGGACATAGTATGAGATTTCACCAACCAAACCAAAGGATATTAAAACCACAAATGTCCCACATTGCAGCTTACCAATCATTGGATGTGGCAGCTGAATTCCTTTTCTTTTGGCTTTTCTCTGTTTTCACCTGGTGATCTGGCCAGTAACACGCCTCCCGTATTAGAGCGCCCCCACTGTGGAGACAGCAGCATGGTCAATCTGGGGGGAGGGGAGTTTAGATGTACTAGCAGATATAAAAGCAGTAACTAATTGAAGCCAAACTCCAGCTCACACTTCATAATCGGTTACATCAAACAGGTTTTTTTCCCTTTTGGGATAAAAGTTTTTACATGAATAAATAAAAGCTGATCATTGTAAGCCCCCTGTCAGTGGTAAATCCCTGTCACTGATATATTCTGCTGTAAAGTTTTTACAAAACAACAGATTTACTGGCTAGATCACCAGATGAATATATAAGAAAAGTAATGCAGTCATCACATCTCAGAATCGGTAAGCTGCAATATAAATGTTATCATTGTGTTTATTAATATGACTTAAGTTAACTTTTATATATTCAGTAGGTTTATGCCCCTGGAGCATGCTGGGGGAGGAAATAAATATTTGGGACAGGCCATGTGCTCTTCCCCTGGGCTGAGGTCTAGGGAGGTGCTGCTGGACGGAGCTCTGCTGTTAGGCCCAATATCCTGTTTTGGGGCCTAATGTGTGCTGAAGTGGTCCTGAAGCTGTCTTGTCTAGTCTGGAGGAAGCTGTGCCAAGGAGGAGACCCAGGAGGGCCCCTTGCTGGAGGGAGCCATGAAGAAGGCTGGTCTCTCAGAAGAACCCGGTGATTCACTTGGAGGATGCACTGACATTTGGGAACGTGCTTACAGAGTCATTCGGTCATCTTAAAGGTCCTGACACTGTGAAGCTGGACATTGATCTGCAGAGTCTGTCAGTGATCTGCCATGGTATCTGGGTCCCCTAACCCTCACCTCCCCAACCCTTCTAAATAAAACTTTAAAAAGACAAAAGTGACTGGTTCCCAATATCCTTTCTCAGTTCCCGTATTTTAGCCATGGACTCAGCCCTGGGGTGACCACTCCTGACCTCTGGAGGTGCCATCCTGCCTTTAGGGTGTCAGGGGTTCTTCATTCATATTGCACATTGCATAGTACTGACCTCTACACTATATACATTTGTTGTATGTTAGAGTCCTGACCCCTGCACTATATACTCTATGGTGTACATTACATACTCCTGACCCCTGCACTATATATTCTATATTGTACATTATATACTCCTGACACCTGAACTATATACTCTATATTGTACATTATATACTCCTGACCCCTGCACTATATACTCTATGTTGTAAATTATATACTCCTGACCCCTGCACTATATACTCTATGTTGTACATTACATACTCCTGACCCCTGCACTATATACTCCATGTTGTACATTACATACTCCTGACCCCTGCACTATATACTCTATGTTGTACATTACATACTCCTGACCCCTGCACTATATACTCTATGTTGTACATTATACTCCTCACCCCTGCACTATATACTCTATGTTGTACATTACATACTCCTGACCCCTGCACTATATACTCTATGTTGTACATTATACTCCTCACCCTGCACTATATACTCTATGTTGTACATTATACTCCTCACCCCCTGCACTATATACTCTATGCTATATATTACATTATTCTGATATTTTATAGTCCTAATGTTTCTATTCTATATAATAATTTGTACATTACATAGGTCTTCTTTTACACCAACTTCCTCCCAGCTGGACATTTTATATCGGATGATGTGATTGCAGCACAGACTTTTACATGGTGATAATAATGTGATAACATCCTCCAACTTTGGACCCTTAAACAGAAAGTGATAATGAGGGAGGAGTCAATACCCCAATGATGGTGGTCTTCAGGATCAGTCCAGTCTTCATCTTGGTTGTTCTCCCCCCATCCTCACTCTCTGACCTCTGGTGGGGCTCAGCCCCGCTGTTCTTCATGACTAAATCATGGACTAAATAAGGAAGTGCAGTACTTCTTGTGTTGGGAAGATGGCGATGAGTGATAGAGGGGGTGGGGACCCTCGTCCTATAATCCCCTCATCACTGTCCCTCCTATAAAAGACAGTTCTGGTTGTTTCCTCACTCTCTGACTAAGGTCCATGAATAAAGAAATGACCTGGTAGGAGATCAGAGGAGCCATTTCCTAGTTCCCTTGAGGGTGGAATTGTAAGCTCCTTAGAGACCAAGCTGCCTAATGTGGGCGGAGTCCTGGTTTGGGGGAACCAATCAGCTCCTGTCTAGTAATCCTCTTTGTCTTTGTATTTTAGTCCATGGCTGGGAGATGAGGAAAACCTCCGAGGATTGTCTCACTTTGTCTCCAGAGTGGAAAGTAGAAGATGAGGACATCACACAGTATAGTCCAGGAGAAAACCCGGCTCCCTCCAATGTCCATCCGGCACCACCCAGTGTAGATGGACCATCGGATTCCTCGTATCCTGAGGAACCTCAGACTGTGCGGGACCGGGCCGACCTTCCAACAGGGAAGAGCTTCTCCTGTACTGAGTGCGGGAAATGTTTCCGCTATAAATCCCATCTTAATGTGCATAAAAGATGTCACACGGGGGAGAAGCTGTTTTCCTGTCCTGAGTGCAGGAAATGTTTTTCATGCAAGTCCCATCTTTCCATACATCAGAGGTCTCACACGGGGGAAAAGCCGTATTCCTGTCCTGAGTGCGGGAAATGTTTTTCAGAGAAGTCCAATCTTTATACACATCAGAGATGTCACACGGGGGAGAGACCGTTTTCCTGTCTTGATTGCGGGAAATCTTTTTCTAATAAGTCATATCTTTACACACATCGAAGATGTCACACGGGGGAGAAGCCATTTTCCTGTCCTGACTGTGGGAAATGTTTTTCACAAAAGTCCGATCTTTACAGACATCAAAGATGTCACACGGGGGAGAAACCATATTCCTGTCCTGAGTGCGGGAAATGTTTTTCACGGAAGTTCAATCTTTACACACATCAGAGATCTCACACGGGGGAGAAGCCGTATTCCTGTTCTGAGTGTGGGAAATTATTTTTCACAGAAGTCTGATCTTTACAGACATCAGAGATCTCACACAGGGCAGAAGCCACTTCCTGTCCTGAGTGAGGGAAATGATCCTCACTGAAGTCCTGTCTTCCTGTACATCAGGGGTCCCACACAAGCCTGAGGTGTATTAGTGCCTTGAGTGCAGGAAATGTCTTCTAGATGAATGTTGCTGGACATCCCAGCTCTCGTGGGGAAGAAGCACACCCTGATATACACCTCAGATATACTCCATGGCTGATCTTCATCATGGAAGAAATTGTTGATAAGGAGAGGAGAGGCCCCCAAAGACATGGATGAAGTGCAGTAAATGTCGGGGTGCAGAGTGGTCAGTAGATCCTGGAAATGAAGGACAAAACTTCAGCCCTTCTTGGGTGTCGGAGTTGCGTTTCCTGATACTGATATAGCGGGTTACAGAGCTAGAAGCCGGGAGAGCCCAGATCTCGTTATCGGGGAACTTTACACAGACAACAAGAACTTCTGAAGTTGATGTCCTTCATTTCAAGGCTGTACAGAACAGTGGTGACCCCGAAGCATCTCTCTGTCTTCAGTCCATCCTTCTCCCATCCCCCAACAGGAGGGAAGGAGAACTCCGCCCCAAACTAGGGGGGAACTTTCCTCTCATTATTTCCCTTGGCTTCTGTGTGTGGGTTTGGGTGGTTGGAGGAGTGCGGCACGAGAGGGAACACAGCTTGTTGTTCTATGTCTACATATAGGGTCTGGGTAGAGGGGATCCACCGGAAAATATTTCTACTCTTTGATTTTGTGCAAATCGTTTCTGTTTTCACTTTGAAGGGTGATATTTTGTGTGGTTTGTAAAAGGGATTGGCCCAATAGATACCACTCCACTTAGAGAATAGATGAACTAATATGACTAGCATTCATTCAGCCATGTCACATGTTGGTCTTATCACCCAGTGATTTCCTATGCTCATGGGCTCCATCTAGTGGCCATAATGTATTGAACTGTTTTTCCTGATTGAGGTGTTTTAGAACCAATACCTCACTATGGCCACTAGTTGGAGCTGATGATTATAGGATCCGTGATTATTAAAATATGGCCAGAATTTGTCATGGCTGGACATATGCTTGTCTCTCTCCCTCGACATATTTTTTGTTTACTATGTTAGGGGTGGTGTCATACAAATACCAGAGATCACACTCATACATTTATGAGCACAGTAGACATTGAAGGACATAAATTAAATAAAACCTCAGGAATAAACCAACCATTGATTTAAGAAAAAAAAAACCCTATTTGGCCTTTAGATGGTGCTAAGTATAGTAATTAGTTCCACCTACTATATGAAAGGGTTTATAGTTAAATCACTTTTGCTTTATGCCTACTAACTGGTTTGTTGTACATACAAGATGTTACCGTGGGATGTGAATGCTGGTATCTGTGCACACATTTCTTGTTTTTAGAAATTGCAGAAGTCACTATCCTGTTGTATTTTTGTTATGACGTGCCATGGAGTAGTTTACTGAAATCTCTATTCTGTATTCTGATTGGTGCTTTATGGAAACCACCTGAAATATGCCGCGTTATCATTTATTACTTAAAGCTGGATGAATAATAAAGAAGTCACATTTTGCATCACACATCTAGATGTCTGACTTGCATTATTCCCAAAGTACTTTGAACTGGATGTTTGTATGGAGGAGGAGGCCGGCATAAATTGATGTTCCTGACAGAAGTGGTGTCAGAAGTGGGATAGGATTAGCCATCGCAGGTAAGTGAGCATTTGTTGTCTTCCTTTGCCCTGATTGCCCCCTATCTCCACCAAGCCTTTGTGCTGCGGTAGCATGAGCAATTGTCCACTGGAGCTTTGGGAGCTCGCGGGGTTAAACAGAACCTAGGTTGATGTATAAGAAATGTGTGTATGTCCTCCATACAATCATACAGAGTGTGTGTTCAGTGATATGTACGCTTGTAACTAGAGAAACTGTTCAGTAGATGTATTCTAAGTCTCTGTAGGACTGTGAGACGCCCCATCTACTCAGCGAGGAGATTTCTCCATTGACCTGGGATAGGTGAAAGCATGGTGACAGTCTGAAGGAGTCACAATAGGGGTGTACCTGTCCAGGTGATTTTCAGCCTTGAAGCACTTGTGCAGTTGAGAAGAATTTTGTCGGAGCTCTACGTGAGTTCAGTCCAGCTTCACCCGGCACAAAGTCAGTCACCACCGGGAGAGAAACACATAGGCCAGCTCACATAATATTGCTTCTTTGCTTTGCAGTGATGATGGGAAACTCCCAAGGTAAGGGGAAGTACCCAGACCCTCCGAGCCACCGTGTAAAGTATTAAGAGAAGAAAACTGTTAAAGAAATTTACTAAGGAAGACGGATCAGCTCTAGAAAAATCCCAACTACCAGCTAATGAGACATGTAAAGAATATGTTACCTGAGTGTCACTTTTGGGATTGTTGTCTTGTCCCATGGTGGACAGCCTGGCAGGGTGGAGTTCAACCATGGGGAGTGCCAGTCCTTTTCCCAGAGATGGGGACAATGATGATTTTCACATGGATATGATAAAGGGGATATGTTTAGGGGATAAAACTGCCTTTCCCTATTTTGGTCCAGATCCTGAGTGGGATATGAAATATATAAGAGGGGTGCATTGAATTGGTTGAAGTATACCCCAGGATATAAGTACCTGACACCAATCCCTTCTGCCCCAGTAGCTAAACACAGTAATAGTCCTTTTTATGGCACTTTTTGACGCCTGCCACTACGTTTCCTGATTATACTCAACTGTATCCTCAGCTCCCTAAGGATGAGGATGATGATTATTTGTCACATAATTGGAGGAGACATGCATTACATTCTGCCCCAGCCCAAGAGTCCCACCATCCCACTGATGAAGGAGGCCGTTTGGCAGTGATCAGTGGTGATGGGGAAGATTCTTCAGAAGAAGAGTCAGGTTGAAGTTTATCAATGCGTGAAATTAATAAAGAGTGGAAAGAAACAAAAGTTACATTGGGAAGGACATTAGACCAGATGCAGCAAACTGTGACTGCTGATGCCCAGGACCAAGATGGAGAAAAGTAAAAAAGGCAAGGTAGTAAGCAAGGCAATGAAATCAGGTGGACAAACATCAATGTTAAAAGAGCAGACAGTACAGGAGAGGGACGCAGCAAGTGAGATGTCAGAAGATTCAACAGGAGAGGTGAGTTGGCCGGAGCAGGATAATTCAGAAGAATTTGGTATTATTTGAGGTCCAGAAAAGACGCAGAAGACGACGAGGGAGCCACCCAAGCTTACCCTTCCATCATTGTGGGAAATGTGGTGATAAAGCCAATGGAAATTAATGACGTTAATGGAATTATAAAGGGTTGTTCTGATCCTCGGAAAAACCCCACTGCTGCCATTAACTACTTTAAAAGAGCAACTCGGGGCAACAATGTTCACAACAGGATAAGAGGATAATCATCGATGGAATTTTGGGATATGATATGGAATCAGGTTGGGATTGGACCAACGTGCTGCTATTTATGAGCTTCATGAGCCATTTAAACCTGCTGTGGATGAGTGGAGAACTACCATGGGTCAGGAACAGATGTGGAAGGAGTCGGCTGCAGAAATGCAGAGGTTGTGGAAAGATAAACACTCACTAGCTACAGCAGCTGATTTTAAGCAGGGCAGCAAGGATGAAATCTGACAACACCAGCCTGCAGTGTTGGCTGAAATCAGGATGCCACCAAACAAAACAACTAAATTTTTACATTTTGAAATTTTAATAGATCATTTCCTACCCCATGACCAAAGGTCTGCTACTGATTATGCCTGGAGATTTAGAGCTGATCCAAGAAACATATGTCACAAATCTTATAAGGCTTTTGAATGGCATCTATAGTTATGTATCTCTTTATTTCCCCTACCGTCTTTCAGGCCAGCACTCTGAGAGACCTCGGCTCCTCCCCATCTGAGGAAACACCTCCACCTACAATAAAAAAGCTCCACTCCCCTCTGACCTCAGTTCAGGTGTTTCCTCCGGTGGGGAGACACGAGGAGGCGCAGGGCAGACGATAGGGGAGCCGAGGGCCGGATAGCCGGCTGAGAGGCCCGACGCAGCCGGGAGTGAAGGCCGGAGTGTCCGGCTGCATATCCTCCCTGGGCAGGCTGTGGGCAGTGAGAGTGCATCCCGGGGGACGGGACAAAGCACTTGCCTGTTCTTCGCCCCCCGACCCTCTCCGGCGAGGGGGGGCATCGGGGTGGCCGTGGTGAGATCTGGGGAGGATCGGGGGGAGTCCCGCTCCTTTCCCATGCTGGCGGTCGGAGGACTTTGCCGGGCCGGACGTCGGGAGACGACGGTTTCCGGCGGAAGGGGCGGGGCTTCGCCCAGGGCTGCGACTTCTGCTTCCGGTCGCGGCCCTCACACCACGGTGGCGCAAAATTTGAAAAGGCGGTGCGGTGCACAGCGGTCTGGGGGACAGACCAGCGCCAGGCGACCACCCTCCGGTACGGGATGTCGGAGGCACGGGGACCAGGAGATGCCAGCACCAGCCAGTCACAGGTAAGGTGCCTCAGTGGAGGCCTCCCCTACCTGTTGGCCCCTAGCAGTGGGAAGGTGGGGCAAGGGGTCTGCGGATTTGCAGGCCCTTTTTTGCTCTGCCAGGAAGGAGCAGGGGGGGGGTGTTTAGTGTTGGACTGATTAGGCTTCCCTCCTCCCCCCTTTCTTTTGTGTCTTTCAGGGCAAGGCCCGAGCTAAACTTAGGCACCAGGAGCCCAAGCGGAGATGCCCTTCCTGTAAGGAAGTTTTGAAAGAATCTTGGCAAAAGGTTCTTTGTGGCCCATGTATACATTGGTGAGGGAGGAGAAGCCGGAACAGGGGGACCTAGCCAGGTTAGTGAAGGAGTTGGCTACCACCTTCGACTCCTTCAAATCCCTCATGGAGAGGTTTGCCCTCCCATTACCTACACTCCCCCCCCCCCAGGTAGCTTCGGTGGGTCGTCGGGAACCCCTTATGACCGGGGAGGAACCAGTGGGGGACTCCCAGTCTGAGGAGGAATCGGCGGGGGA